TCCAGCCCCCAACCATCTACCCCACTTCACAGCTTCAGCCCACACTCCACTAACCACAGGATGCTCAGTGATCAAATGATAGGAATGAAGAATCAACCAGGCCAACCCTAGTTGTTTGGAATTTAAGAGAATTAATAAAAGTCTGTAGCTGTGACCAGTCCTGACTGCCTGCTCTTTGAGCTTTAGCTTCTTGGAAGTCAAGGCCAACACAGAGCCAGGGGGAGGTGTCTGTACTCCAAGAACTGCAGCGTCATGGAGACCCTCTCAGTACTGGCCATCAGACTACACACGTGCCGTCCAGAAGATGGGCTGCATTTCTCTCTCCTCTCTCACCTGGAGTAACTGAGGCTCAGATCATGTGGCCTAGCTCATGTGGCCAGAAATTGACAGAGCTAAGACTAAACTCATGATCTGTGGGATTCCAAAGATCCTGCTTGAAACACTGCACATGCCCGCCTGGAAGACCGCAGAGGCTTATGACCCCTTACCTTACAAGGGACAGCTGGTTTTAATGGGAATGTCCTGGAAGGCATGTATGCTAAATGTCCACTTCTCTACATCAGGGATCTGCAAATCCAGCCAGACTGTGTATGAACAATTTCACTGGCACACGCCAGGGCCCATTTGTACACGTGCTATCTGTTGCTTTGCTCACCACTACAGAACAGCAAGTAGCTGAAATAGACAGGACGGCACCGGAAGCCTGAGCCTTCACAATCCTACCCTTTGTAAGCAAAGCTTGCTGATTGCTGGTGCTGATTAAAACCCACAAAACCCTTTCTTCTGGATTGGTGTGACTCTCAGTGGCTCGGCCTTGGTCAGACCCAAAACAGGCCATCTGTTTCAGCCAGGCCAGCACATCTGGACCACGATCTGCAATGCTTTGAGACCTGATGCCATTTAAAGACACTACCAACACGGTGTCAGGTTCCTCCCTCTCACATTGTATTTACTTTTATTATTTTCTTTTATCCTCGAGAGGTCATATCAGGTTTGGATAATCCTGAAGTCTAATACTCAGATCTTAAAATACTATTTCTTTGCCTTGTTCCTGGTCTGGGTAGTTTCCCTCAAGCAACTTGTCTGATAATGTGTGGGCTCAAGAAGACAGACACACTGCTCAGAGATTTTATGGTCCAGATCTTCCATCCACATTCTCCAGGGAGAAGTCCCCAGTGGTATAATTTATGGGCCAAAAGAAAGTCTTGGCACTTCAGGCATCTAGCAAAGCGATTCTCCTTCCAATCGTGATGATGATTACCACACACGGTGCTTGCCAAACTCCAGGGACAAGGCTGAGAGGGACATGTGTTGTCTCTTTTAACCTTCCCAACTACCCACAAGCTTGAGCACTAATAGCCTCATTCTACAGGAAAACTGCCTATCAAGGTTAAAATACTTGTCTAAGTTCACACTGCAACGAAGTAGACAAGCTGGGATCCGACCCAAGGTCTGAGCTCTCTGGAGACATTTTCCAATTCTGCAAGAGTATGAAATGCACACCAGGCAGCAAATGAACATTACAAATGGTAACATAACGGAGCACTGCCCCAAGCCCAGGCAAACAGGTGGCACAAGTCAGGATGGATTTGGGAGAACTTGGATTTGTGGGACAGGTATGAGGACAACACCAGCTACAGTTCTGTGGGGACATTTGTAGGTAAGTCACTGCTAGGATCTCTCCAGTCGTCAAGTAGAAACAGTGTGATGAAGCTTCCGGTGTTGGTTTACAGGATGACATCAAGAGCCCCCCTGGATCATTAAGTTGGGGATGCTCCTTAGAAGTCCCCCTGGGGAGCCACACTGAGCAAGCACCCAGGGCCCCTTAACCTGGCTCAGGGGTGGAAGGCATAGGTTTGGGACTTGCCAGCCTGAGATGGGGCTGATGAGCTGGTTTGGGCCGTGGCAGGGCAAAGCAAAAACATGTCAAATCAAAGCTTCGTTCTAGTAAAATCACCACGTACAGGGCAGGTGGGCTTTGTGTAAGCACCTTATGGCCTCGTCTTGTTCCTGCCTGAAGAACAATATTAATGAAATCCATGCTTACAAACTGCTGAGAGCCATGGGCCAGCATGGTCTCGAAGCTGGGTGTAGGTGTAGGAGGGGAGGTGGGGACTGTGTCTGGGAGATGCTTGAGATCTGCACAGCACTGGAGTCAGGGGCCCTCCAAGCTCTGACAGTCAAGATCCTATCGGCTTGTCTAGAGGACTTTTCCGGAAAGCTCAGCAAATGGTAGGATCCAGCCATACCATCAAAGTACTTTTAGTCAAGTAGCTAATTTATACCTGGGAGTCGCCAATAGGGATGTTGACTCTTGTGAGGAATCTGAATTTCTCTGCCTCCCCACAGCGAACTCTGCTTCAGGCAATGAACCATAGATATGCCCACATGGGAGACCTGAGACCAGTCCCCTGAAAACCAATCCTGGGGGAAAAGCCTCCTCCTCCTCCAGTGGTCCCTGAAGGCCTACTCACAACTCTCTCCAGGGTTAAGACAAATTAGGATCTCCAAAAAAAAATACTGAGCATGTCAGCCCACCCTACTTCTTTGAGAAATCAAAACTGGGATAACAGGCAGCCCCCTTTACCAGTTATTGAGGGCCACTCTGGCAGGACTAAAAGTGTCCACAGTGATGTACTGACCAAGAGAGAAAGCAGCTGTGCAGCCTTGTCAGAACTGTGGAATGAAGACACAAGTTTCCCCAACTCTGGTGCTTTGCCCCTTCCCCTGTTTGCATTTTGCTTTCTTTTCTCTACTCTTCCTGTAATAAAAATTCCACAGGTTTTAGGACTGTCTCACCAGACATTTTGTTGGGCACGTCCTGTAGCTGGTCACTGGGGTATTGTAACCAGGAAATATATAGACTGCCTTTGGGAATGGACAAAGCTCCCAGCTCTAATAGGTGGTGAAGAATCACAACTTGTAGTTTAGTTAGTTAGCAGTTTGTGCTAATACAGGATGACTCCAGAGCAAACAGAGGACTCTGGGGGAGCAGTGGCCAGAAGCCTCCCTGGAGCTAAGCTCAGATGGAAGAAATCCTCTGTGCTTCCTCTGAGCTCAGGAAAGGTGGGGAAAGTTCCAGGCAGGGAAAAGAGCAGGTCTCTGTCATGGCTGTGTGTGAGGTCATGGCAGCTGCAAATTAGAGCAGAGAGGCCCAGAAGAGCCAGATCCACTTTTTTGGAAATGTCTCATCACAGCTGTTACTCCTGTGGAAACTGAGGCTCAGAAGGTATCAAACCACATAGATCAGGGTATTAATTGTCCCTTGTTCTCAATTAATTAGTCTAGGTAAGGATGGTATTTGTCAGATGTCACTCCTGAGTTTTTCTAACTCAGCACCCACAGCCCATTAAGATGAAAACCACCCACTGTGTGCAGTTGCGATTCTAGTCACCAAGGTGAGAAAATATGCTGATACATTTCAGCAAGGTTTACTAGCATTGAACTCCGTGGGGATTTTTTCGTCATCAGAATGTTCCATTACACAGGCGTGTTGCTGATTGAAATTTTTCTACATGTGAGATCACTAATTACGATCAATTTCACATTAGTACAACTCGAAGCAGTGTCCTTCTATCACTTCAAAGACTTGGACTTTAAAATTTTAAGTCAGCCAGACATGTTTACACCTCATACCACCAGCAAAGTAAAAGAGACCCTCCCTGTGCCTTGTGTGTGGCACAATCCCACTCCTCTTTGGCAGCTCCACTGTCACCTGCCTCAAGAATGTCCCCTCCCTGCTGCATTCAGCGGCCCTCCCTCAAACATAACCTGTCACTATCCTGATCATCAGAATTCTGACGACAGACAAAACAGCAAAAGTAACTACCAGTGACTCGGCCACATGCCACTGGATTCCTGCCTTCACTCAGGATATTCCTTGGCAGGTGCACCTGGCTCCCTTCCAGCTACGTGTCCAGCCTGCCATCGTCACCTCAAATGGCAAAGGGGTGAAAGGACTGGGGCTTGATGTGCTATTTTCTGACTTGGGGAATACAAAAGAATGGGGGACAAAGTAGAAAAAAGAAAGAGATGATGCTACTTATTTCTATGGGTCTGGAATTGGAAAGAAGTCTGAGCTTAAAACGAGACTCAGGAAACATCAGCTCACAAGTCAGTGATTGGGCACTTGTGGGTGAATGAGCATGTGTTCCTTCTATCCGATAGGGGGTGGTATGGGGGGGCAGTAATAGGATTTTGAACTTAGGACCCAGGGCTTGCTAAGCAGGTGCTCTCTCACTTGAGTCACACCCCCAGCTCTTTTCTTGCATTCATTATTTTCAGATAGGGTCTCAAGCTGTTGATCCTAGGGTGGATGGTGGTTTCTGTTCTGGGAGGATCTGTGTTGCTTCCTGCACCAATGATGTCGACAAGGAGCCATCAGAAAATCTACCTGACACGAAGGTAGAAGGTAGGACAAGGTGTTGCAGCATTGACTCAGTGGCGTGTTACTTATGGCTAGCTTCATGGGAGGTTGCATCTGTCTGACAGTGTTCCTACGCAGTTTATAACCCAAGGGCAGGCACCAGGCACTCCCTAACAGAGCAACCTGTACTCTCAAGTGCGGGCTTACCGGCCATCCTTCAAGCTACAATGGTATTCTAAAGTCATGGACACAAAGGATTGGCAGTATTGTGCAGAGATGACCAATAGCCCTAGCGTGGGGCCCAAATGCCCCACTGTATGGCTGTACTGTCTAAATTCTACCAGTCTGATCAGGCAAACATTAATACCTACTGAGAACCTGCTTGATGTAGGGGACACAAGGACAGAAATTCCCACCTTCCACTGTGATGAAGACACCAACACAGCAGCAGACAACACAGTGCTGCAAATGCTACAGAGAGGACAAAACAGATTGACCACAGGAGGCAATAAACTTCAGGGCTTTATTCTCCAGTATGGAGGGCTACACCTTTGCCCACCCACCCCCCAAACTTTAAAATTTTTATGACTCTGAGATCCTCACACAGTCCTCTTCAGGACCTCCGTGTGAGATTTTGCCAACAGTTCAAACTGAGAAATTCTTACATGTTCTTCCCTTAAAAACACTGATACCATTATTTACTGAATCCACTTTTACAGATACTAGAATTTATCGCTAAACTAACTTAAGTTTGGTTGGTCCCTCTTACGTGGCTTTGCTAAATAGCTTCACTGTTGCGTTGACTTCTGGTTCTTACTTTCTTAGTGAACGCAATGTCCTTATCCTGTGTGAGAAAAGAAACATAAGTAACTTATTACAGTAACTTTTGTAATCTGCAAACCCCCAAATCCTTCTTGTTTGCTTTAGCCAAGGGCGGAAGGACCACTGAAAAACTAAGCAAGTAAACGTCTTCCTAGACGATACATGCAGATCACACATGCAGTTTCTGGGCCTGTGGACAGAGCTGAAGCCTGTGATGGACAGCCTGCTAAGAATGCAGCCCTGGAGAAATGTGTCGGCGTGTGCTGGAGTCAAGTTCCCTGAATGCCAGTGGTGATGAGGGAAAGGCCTGAGGGCTCTGACCAAGCAGCCAGGCCTGACTGCTCTGTGTCAGGTCCATCCAAATGAAAAGAATATTGGCTTTTATTCCTTCATTGTCATTCCAATAAGGCTCTATTTCCCAAACTATGATTTTGTAAGTGGTTAGTCTTGATTTTATTCTAAAATTGGAACATGAAGTGTAAAGGTGATAATTACATTGAGCTGAGTTCCTGGTGTCTCCTTGGTCTCCAAAATCAAGTCTTGCCACCTTTAGGTGGCTTCTGCTTCCAGTCAGCGCCTGGCTCATTTTCTGACTTAATCATACCTCCCCACTAGTATTTCCTGTCACCATCCTGCAGTGCAGCTCCTCCTGTTCAGCTCCCTGCTGGCTGTACAGTGTGCGTTGGGACACTTAAGACTCTTGGCTCTCCTTGGTGACCAGTTCAAGCTTCAGAGCTTGTCTAGCCTGGGCAACTGGATTTGCCACAATTCGGTACCTAAAGTGGCTAATGCTACCTTCCTTTCATTGGCTGATCTCAGTTTTACATTCAACTTTTGTATTAAGAGCAATTTTATATTACTCATGCAATGCTAACTGCCCACCCTAACTTTTAAGCCAGCATTTGCCCAGGATACTAATTAATTTCATCATGCATTATGGAGTATGCAAATTACAGATAATTTGTGAGCTACTAACAGTAGCATTTAGAGTTCATTCGCTTAGATATTGTTTGGCTAGGGAGGGTGAAATGACACGTGCAGTTTCTGGAGAACACAATTGACCTAGTACTGTTTGCCTTGTGGATACCCAGCCCGTTTACTCTGCCTTTCTAAAGAATGTCCTTCGAGATCTGAACCTGGGTACCTTTGCTTAGTAAGTATTGCTGAACCAAAGTGACACCAATAAGCTTAGAATGTGCTGTGTCATAAGCAGCCAGAAAGTGGTGACTAAGCAAACTCCTAGTACTACCTGAACAAAGTCTTCAATCATTTGAATTCACTTTTTTAAGTAGAATTCCCAAAACAGATATATCAAATACAGTTTACCAGGACAACACACACGGCTTAAATTCATGCCGGGAGCCAGCAGCATGTTGTAATCTACAATGCTTTTCATTTGCCTTTGCAACATTGGACATAAATATACCAAAAACATTCTGCTTTTATAAGAAAAACAGTAAACTGCTTACCTTCTTTGGATTTTCTGCACCCCTCTTGGCCCCTCGAGTTATTCTTGGCTCAGGTTCACTGTCCAAAGTGTCTCCCCTAGACTGGATTCCAGTCTTTCTGGATCTTAGATATGTAACACCTGACTTCCCAGCCACTCTGTTCTCTTTCTGCTCCTTCACGGGGATCTCCATGCTCTTCCCCCTTACTTTCTCCTCTGCTGGAAGAGGCTGGGAGACCTTACTCTGTCTTCCAGCTCGCAGGCACATCCTGTCCCCAGTGAATCTGCTCCGAGCTGCAGGTTTCTTGGCTGTGTCACCTGGGTTCTGTGCCTCTGTCTCTTGGGAAGTCTTCACAGACCTTTCATTTCTCCTCACTTGATTCTTTTCTGCTGACGTAAATTCCTCAGGTCTTTGCTGTTCTACATCGGTTTTATTTTGGCGTCTGGTGCGCAGAGACTTTCTCTAAAGAAATGTGAAGACATCCACAATATCCCCAAAATAAGTAAGCAAATCTCAGAATTCAAGAGGGAGAAAAACGATCAAAGGTAAACTAAAGAGAAAAAAGATTGCAAAGTTTACATTAATTTTCTAAGATACCCAAAAGTTGTGTCTTGCTACTTTGTCCCTGCAGAGAAATGGTCACCTGCATGTACTGCAAATAAAAAAGTCAGGACAAAAACTTCTGATCACAATGCCTAATGGGATATATGCTGAATCTAACGTTACAGTTTACAGTACTGAGAAACACCCCATCTTTCAACAACCACTGCCAGGGCGGCGTGTGGTAACCTCACAGCCCTGACATTTCGCCCTTCTCAACAGGATACGGATGCCGTTGTTAAAACACAAGCCATGAATGCGGCACTGAGCTGCCCAACTTTCCTCTGATCAACTTTTCAAACTGAGGATGAATATAATTCACTCACTCTTTGAAAAGCTCCTAAGTCTGAAGTCATCATTTTGACTTGTTCTTTTCCAGAACTTGTCTCTGCTCTATGTAAGTCAAAAGGACTGCACCATAGTTAATGGTGTTGAATGGAAATCCCTGTGGAAGAGGACAACCCCTCCCCCCATAAGCCTGGGTTATATATAAATGACTACCCTCAAAGGACCACGCCCCAACACGTGACAACTGTAACATGCTCTTCACCTGACTTGGAGTGACAGCCTCTTCTACAGTGGGTTCCCCTTTTTCAGTATTCACGCTGTTGCTGTCCTGTTCTTCCGTGGGTTCATTCATGGGTGTGGTAATTCTCACAGGCCTCACCGTGTTCAAGGGCTCAGCTGATGTGTGCTTTTTGCTGGGGGCAGCCCTTTGCTTCCTGCAGACTGGCCTCTTCTCTGCAGCTTCCTGTGGTGGAGTCATAGAGGGCGGCCCCCTGCTTCCATCTTTTCCTGATTTCCTCTTAGGAGACAGGGAAGCATTACTTTTGCTTTGTGATGTGTCAGGGTCTCTGGTGCCCACCAAGTCTTCCACAGGTTTCTCTTTAGAGGCCCTAAGGACTCTTCTGGATGTTTTCAGAGGTTTTGCTGTGTCCGGTGTTGGCTGTGGAGTGCTCTGAGCACCTTTTATGAGTTCCTCAGCGTGGTCTGGTGTTTGGATTACTTCTTTGGAACCAGCCAGGTATTCTGGGGGTTGCCTCTCTGCCTTAGGAGCTCTTGTCCGCCTCCTGCTGCCAGTTACACCTGGTTCTGGCTCCAATGTCTGCTTCGCAGGTTCCTTCAAAGCTTGGCTGCCTATGATATCACTTTCTGGTACTTTGTGGGTGTGCCTGGATGTTCGTGTCAACTTCCTTACTGCCAGCATCTCTTCTTCCACATTCACCTTCCCAAGTCTTGCCCTGGGTTGTCTCTTTGAGGTTGCAAGGGTTTCCACTTCTGGCTGTGGAGATTTGCAGAGCAGTTTTGCAGTTTTCCCATCAGGCACTGAATCCTCAGTGTGTCCTGGTGTTTGGGAGTCAGCCAGGTCTTTCAGGGGCTGGGCATTTTCCTTAGATGAGCCTCTCAGCCTCTTGCTGACCACATTTACTCTTGCTGCTGGGTCCAATTTCCGCTTTGCAGATTCCTTCAATACTTGGATACTCGTACTATTTCCTACAGGCTCTTTGTGTGTCTTCCTGGCTTCCCCTGATGTTCCTGACAACATTCCCTGGGCTGAGGACTCTTCTTTCACAACTGCTTTCCTGAGCCTTGTCCTCAGCTGTCTCTTTAAGGTTGTGGAATCTGGTTCTGGTTGTGGGGATTTGTAAGGCATTTTTGTGGCTTTTTCATCACTTGCTGAATCTCTGGTGTGATCAGGTGTTTGAAAGAGCTCTTTAGAGCTAGCCAGATCTTCTAGAGGTTCTTTAGCCGCCCCTCGTAGCCTCCTGCTGCCAGGTACACTTGGTGCTGGGTTCAATGTCTGCTTTGCAGATTCCTTCGAAGCTAGGTTGTCTGCAACATCACCTTCTGGTACCTTGTGGTTGCGCGTGGTTTGCCTTGATGCTCGCGTCAACTTCCTCACTGCAGGCAATTCTTCTTCCATGTTCACCTTCCTGAGTCTAGTCCTGGGCTGTCTCTTTAAGGTTGCAGGGATGTCCACTGCTTCCTGCTGCGGAGATCTACAGGGCAGTTTTGTGGTTCTATCAATAGTCAGTGGGTCCTTGTCATGACCTGGTATGACAAGGAAGAGTTCCTGGAAGCCATCCAGGTCCTCCAGGGGGGGTTGGGCCTTCTCCTTAGAGGCCCCTCGCAGCCTCCTGCTGCCACGTACACTTGGTGCTGGGTCCAATGTCTGCTTTGCAGATTCCTTCGAAGCTAGGTTGTCTGCAACATCACCTTCTGGTACCTTGTGGGTGAGCATGATTTGCCTTGATGCTCGCGTCAACTTCCGCGCTGCTGGCAGCTCTTCTTCCACATCTACCTTCCCACGTCTCATCCTCGGCTGCCTCTTTAATGTTGCAGAGGTGTCCACTGGCTCTGTCTGTGGAGACTTGTGGGGAAGTTTTGTGGTTCTATCAAAAGTCACTGGGTCCTTGTCGCGACCTGGTGTTTGGAAGAGTTCCTGCAGACCTTCCAGGTCTTCCAGGGGCTGGGCCTTCTCCTTAGCTGCCCTTCGCAGTCTCTTGTTGGTAGTTACACTTGGTGCCTGGTCCAGTTTCCGCTTTGCGGATTTCTTAACCTCTCTAATGACTTTATCTTCACCTTCTGGAACTTGGGATGTGTGCGTGGCTTCCCCTGACATTTGTGGGAGCTTCCAGAATCCTGAAAGTTCTTTCACATTCAGTTTTGCCAGACTTGCCCTAGGCTGTCTCTTTGAGGTTGTTGGAGTGTCCATTGGTTCTGGTTGTGGAGATTCGAGGGGCATTTTTGTGGTTCTATCAATAGGCATTGTGTCCTTGGCACTGCCTGGTGTTTGGAAGAGTTCCTGTAAGCCAGCCAGGTCTTCCAGGGGCTGGGCTTTCTCCTTAGGTGTCCCTCGCTTCCTCTTATTGCCAGTTACACTTGCTGCTGGGTTCAGTGTCTGCTTTGCAGATTCCTTCAGAGCTCTGGTGACTATGACATCATCCTCTGCCGCTCTGTGTGTGGTTTCCCCTGACATTTTCATGAGCTCCCTGAGTGCTGATGGCTCTTCTTTCACGTTCACTTTCCCCAGACTTGTCCTGGACCGTCTTTTTAAGGTTGTTGCAATGTCCATTGCTCCTGGTTGTGGAGATCTGCAAGGCATTCTTGTGGTTCTGTCCATAGGCATGGGGTTCTCACTATGGCCAAGTGCTTGGAAGAGCTCCTGGAAGCCAGCTGGATCTTCTAGGATTTGGGACCCTTCTTTAGTTCTTGACCATTTCCTGCTGCCAGTTACACTTGCTGCTGGGTGCAGTGTCTGCTGTGCCCAATCCTTCAAAGCTTCGATGCCTTCAACACCACTTTCTGGTACCTTGGGAGTGTGCTTAGTTGCTTCTGATGAACGCCTAGGCTTACTCTGTGACGACAGCTCTTCTTTTACATCCACTTTCCCCAGACTTGTCCTGGACAATCTCTTTATGCCTGTTGGGGTTCTGACTAGTCCTAGTTGTGGAGATTTCCAGCACATGTTTGTGGTTTTGTCATCAGACGCTATGTCCTTGCTATTGTTTGGTGTTTGGAAGAGCTCCTGCAAGCCAGTTAGATCTTCTAGCCATTGACTCCTTTCCTTAGGTGTTTGGGGCCATCTCTTAAGTCCAGTTAAATTTTCTGCCAAGTCCAATTCCTGCCTTGGAGTTTCCATAAGTGTTTTGAAAGCTTCCTCCTGTCCTGGTATTATAGGTGTGTGCACAGTTTTTTCTAGTGTCTGCCTTTGTTTCCTGAGTGTTGAAAGCTCTTTCACATCTGCGTTCCTCAGACTTTTCTTGGACCGCCTCTGCCTGCTTGTAGGGGTTCTGACTGGCCCTGGTTGTGGAGATTTCTGGGGCATTTCTGTAGTTTCGCCAACAGTCCTTGTATCCATGCTATGGTTTGGTGTTTGGAAGAGCTCCTGGAAACCACTCAGGTCTTCCAGGGATTGGCTCCTCTCCTTAGATGTTTGTGGCTGTCTCTTAAGTCCAGTTAAATTTTCTGTAAGGTCCAGTTTCAGCTTTGGAGTTTGCATAAATGCTTTGTTATCTTCTTCCTGTTCTGGCATTGTGGATGTATACACAGCTTTGTCTAGTGACTGCCTTTGTTTCCTGAGTGTTAAAAGCTCTTCTTTCACATCTGCGTTCCTCAGACTTATCTTGGACTGCCTCTGCCTGCTTGTAGGAGTTCTGACTGGTCCTGGTTGTGGAGATTTCTGGGGCATTTCTGTAGTTTCACCAACAGTCCTTGTATCCATGGTATGGTTTGGTGTTTGGAAGAGCTCCTGGAAACCACTCAGGTCTTCCAGGGATTGGCTCCTCTCCTTAGATGTTTGTGGCTGTCTCCTAAGTCCAGTTAAATTTTCTGTAAGGTACAATTTCTGCTTTGGAGTTTGCATAAATGTTTTGTTATCTTCTTCCTGTTCTGGCATTGTGGATGTATACACAGCTTTGTCTAATGACTGCCTTTGTTTCCTGAGTGCTGAAAGCTCTTTTTTCACATCTGCAATCCCCAGACTTATCTTGGACCGCCTCTGCCTGCTTGTAGGGGTTCTGACTGGCCCTGGTTGTGGAGATTTCTGGGGCATTTCTGTAGTTTCGCCAACGGTCCTTGTATCCATGGTATGGTTTGGTGTTTGGAAGAGCTCCTGGAAACCACTCAGGACTTCCAGGGATTGGCTCCTCTCCTTAGATGTCTGTGGCTGTCTCTTAAGTCCAGTTAAATTTTCTGTAAGGTCCAGTTTCTGCTCTGGACTTTGCATAAATGCTTTGATGGCTTCTTCCTGTACTGGTACTGTGGGTGTGAGCACAGTGTTGCCTGGTGATTGCCTTCGCTTCCTGAGTGCTGAAAGCTCTTCTTTCACATCCGCGTTCCCCAGACTTGTCTTGGACCGCCTCTGCCTGCTTGTTGGGGTTCTGATTGCTGCTGGTTGTGGAGTTTTGCAGGGTATTTTTGTGGTTTTGTCCATAGTCACTGGGGCCTTGGCATGGCTGGGTGTTTGGAAGAGCTCCTGGAAGCCGGCCAGGTCTTCTAAGGGCTGTGCCTTCTCTTTGGGTGCCCTTCGTATCCTCTTGCTGACAGTTACATTTTCTGCTGGGTCCAGTTTCCGCTTTGCAGGCTGCATAACCAATCTAATGCCTTCATCATTACCTTCTGGTCCTTGGGGTGTGTGCATGATTTCCCCTGATGTTTGTGGGAGTTTCCAAAGTCCTGAAAGCTCTTCTGTCACATGCACTTTCTCTAGACTTCTCTTGGACTGTCTCTTTACACCTCCTGGGGTTCTGACTGGTCTTGGTTGAGGAGATTTCTGGCACATTTCTGTAGTTTCACCTACAATCACGGGATCCATGGCCTGATCTGGTGTTTGGAAGAGCTCCTGGAAGCCACTCAGGTCTTGTAGAGATTGGCTATTTTCCTTAGGCATTTGTGGCCATCTCTTAAGTCCAGTTAAATTTGCTGACAGGTCCAGTTTCTGTTTTGGACTTTCTGAAATTATTTTGATGGCTTCCTCCTGTTCAGGTTCTGTGGGTCTGTGCATGGTTTTGCCTGGTGACTGCCTTAGTTTACTGAATGCTGAAAGCTCCTCTTTTATATCCATGTTCCCCAGACTTGTCTTGGACCGTCTTTGCATGCTTTTTGAGGTTCTGATTGTTGCTGGTTGTGGAGATTCCCAAGGCACTTTTGTGGTCTTGTCAACAGTCATTGGGTCTGTGGCATGGCCTGGTGTTTGGAAGAGCTCCTGGAAGCCAGAAAAGTCTTTGAGGGGCTGGGCCTTCTCCTTAGGTGCCCCTCGCTGCCTCTTGCTGCTAGTTACATTTTCTGCTGCACGAAGTGTCCGCTTTTCAGATTCCTTCAAAGCTCCAATGCTTACAACATTGCCTTCTGGCACTCTGGGTGTGTATGTGGTTTCCTCTGACATCTGAGCAGAGAGCTCGTCTTTCACACCCACTCTCCTCTGAGATGTGTTGGGCTGTGATTTCATGCTTGATGGGGTATCCACTGCTGCCGGTTGTGGAGATTTGCCAGTTACTTTAGTTTTATGGTCACTCATGGGCTTGTTGATACGGTTTGGTGTTTGGAATAGTTCTTTGAAGCCAGTTAGGTCTTCTAATAGTTGGGTCTCTTCCTTAGGAGCTCTTGTTCTCCTCTTCATTTCAGTTGCATCTACCACTGGGTTCACTTTCTGCTTTGAAGCTCCCTTAAACACTTTGATGCCTTTATCATCACTTGTTGGTGTCTTGAGCTGTCTTTTCCTGCTCTTTGAGGGGTCAGCTAGTTCTGGTTGTGAGGATTTGCCAGACATTTTAATGTTCTTTTCCTCTTCATTCACTGGTTCCTTGGTGTGGACTGGTGTGTGTGGGAGTACTGGTGATAGGTCTTTTATAGAATCACGTTTCTGTTTCTCAGTTTTTGATTTCCTCACAGGTGTCATCTTTTCCAAATTTCCTTTTGACTTGACATCTTCCATGAAGGTTTCTAAAGATCTTTCACTGCCCTGAGCCTCTCCCCCTGCCTCCTGTCCTCGCAAGGGTGTCTTCCTCAGGTGTCTTCCTATGATTCCCTCAGCAAGGAATGCTTCTGTTCCTTCATTTTTGCTTTCAACAGCTGGTGTCTGTGTATCTCTGAGCTCCCTAGATCTTCTGAACCCGTTTGCACTGGATACGGTCTTCAGAGGCTCTGTCATAGTATCTACAGTTTCCCTCCCAAGGTGAGTCACGTTCCTAGGCGTTTTTACTGTGTCTCCACCTTTTATGCTCTGCCGTCTTAAGGTAGGGCTTCCAGAATATTTATCAACTGGCTCCTTTATTGCATTCTCAACACTGGAGGACACATTCTGTCCTGTAAGAAATAAAAATACATATGCCAAATATATTCACTATGTTATGTCAACTTAGTGTATTACCTGCATGAAACATAGTTTAAGAGACAAGAATTCAGTGTCCTATCTACCTCGCAAGAATGTCAGGCTACTAATATGGCCATAGTCCTATTTATGAACCAGGGACCCTTAAGTATAATGCTATTTAGTGATAGACTGGGGTCATCATTAAGTGGTGGTTGGGATCTCCAGTAATTATTTTAAAGGAAATAAATATACTTAAGTGTCTTCTGAAAGTTGCCATGCTATTGGGCATTGACCTGAGTGGAGGCAATTTTTGTTTTCAAACATTAGACATAAAGAGCTGTGTCTTGTCTGATCTATCAATGAATTAACATGGTTTCTACTGTGTATGCTTAGGGTTCATACACAGGAAACATTGTAACAGTAAGCATCTGCAGGATAGGAAGCTATTCCCTTTATGGCAGGAACACAGTAAACAGTAAACAGTAGCAAATAGGAATTTAAGACAAACCCTCATCTCCTTTCTCACACTTACTCTGCAGCCTGGTCCCAGTCAGAGGATTAGGGGAAATATCTAGAGAGTACACAAATTTGTAATAATTTTAAGCTTGAGTAATTTATATATAAACATGATGGGAGTCAAGTGTACTGTTCTACTATAAGGGAGTCAGGTGTACTGTTTTACTATAACATCCTCTTAAAGTCTGCTAAAAGCTTACAGAAATCATTTAAACTTAACAAAGTCTTTCTAAGTATAACAGAGAATGCCAGTGTTAACTGCTAATCAGAATCTGCTTGAACAATAGAAAAAAGAAGATGAAAATTGCATTTTATTGGGGAACATATTTTGAAAAGAAGAAATACAATATTGCTTATAAAGAAGTAAAACCATCTGTAAGATTCTGGGCAAAATCATACCACTGCTAGGAAACAAGTAAACCAACCCTGAATTTCTGAAGTGAGGGGTTGAGGGCTTTCTCCTGAATTAGTGACTTGAAACTGTTTTTCAAGCAAATTCTCTGAATTGGAAATAGTAACAGAACATGTGCTCGTCCTCTGTGGCTTCTCTTTCACTGGAGTCTTGAACATTTCACTTAGCCCTGAAAAATGAAAATATTTGAAATACATCACTTACTTGCAGATACCAATCTTTACACAGAACAAACTAAATGACAGGCAGTAAGCCCAGTTAAATCCCTAGGGTTCCTGGTACCCAAGGTTTCATGAAAGGTCAAGTCCATGAATAATGAAATACTTTTTTAAAAGACGGCAAAAAAGAGAAGTGCATTTGGTTTCTCTTCTATTCCTTTCTTATTAGAAATCAAGTGAATTAGTTGGACTTTATGGTCTTCTAAACTAGTCCCCAAATATGAGCTGTGACGAGGGGCAGAAGTTGGGGGTGGGTGCAGTCCCTCAGGACCCCTCATCCAGGCATCCACAACCTGGGAGCCCTAATGCTGTCTTCTAAAATCCCAGGTGGCTCGGTTCTCAATTTTATGTATTTATGACACCTTCCTGCATTTTAGAAAATGAACGAATGCTGTTCTTAGTGCTGACAAATAATATGCATGTATTTATATAAATCTTAAACATCACAGTCATTGCATTTTAACACAAAAAAGCAGTTCTGACCTAATCTCAAAGCAAAAGAACACATTACTTCATGTGGAAGAGCTAATGCTGAGAACCTCAGGTGCACCCGAGTTTTCCTTGTCTTGCTGGGAACAGTGGGTAAGACTTTCAACCTGGCACTCAGCACAGAATATGCCAGGCCAGTCACTAAGCCTCCCTCCTCAAAGGCCTCCCAGGCCTTACTTGAAATACCCCGAGTTTAGTCTCCACAAGTCAATGTTTTTAAATGGAAGTCACTCACACCAACGGAGGTGAACCATCTCACTCCAGGAAGAGTATGGTAAGGACAGTACACTGTCCCAAGAGCTGAGTATTAAAATCTTATTTATGTAGAGGCTCACACTTGTAATTTCAGAATTGTGGGAGGCATAGGTAGGAAGATCAGTGTCTGAAACTGGCCAAGGGCAAAAATGTGAGACACTGTCCGGAAAGATAACTAAAGAGAAAAGGACCAGGGATGTGGTTTAAGTTGTATGGCACTTCCTTAGCAAGCAAAAGGCCCTGAGTTCAAATGCTGGTACCACCAATAAATAAATATGTAAATAAATAAAATAAAAATTTAAAAATCTCATTTATTCTAAAAGTATCTTTGCGGGTGCATTTTTTAACATATATACTTGTATAGCACACGTGTTCATATTTATAAGCTCACACATCTATACATTATCTACTTTTGCTTCTGTGTTTTTGTTTGGTTGTGTTTTTAAAGATAAATGAATTGGTTTAAATATAACTCTTGTTATAAGCTACCTTGCATACATTGTACTGATTGAGGCATGTAGTAACTTCCAACCACTGAAAACCTGCTTTCTTGCCATCAGGGTTAAACAGTCAGGTCACACTTTCACTGAGTGTTAGTGAATCAAGTGGAATCAAGTAGAAACCTTTGCTCCACTGTTAATGGTGCCACAGAACTTTCTCACAGGGCTTTCTCTCAATAACACTTAAGCTCCTTAGAAAGAAAGTACAACTTGAAGAAGCAAAATATTTCTCAAAAGCAACTGATCTACCCCTGGGACAAGGCATTCCCACCACTGCAGGGACAGGAAATAAAATGCTTTCTCATTTTCCACACTTCCGTTACTCTTGGGGCAAAGATATGCATTTGAGATTTTCATGCTTACTTCTTATGGGGTGCATGACCCCCCATTTGTCAGAGACCTGTACTCCCAACCTTCATCTCCTTGGAATAGTATGTCCCCAGAAAGCTGGCTCAATTGTTTACACTATCAGCCTTGGTGCAGATAAACAAAGGTAATGAACAACGACAACATCACAGGCAGTAGGGTCCAAGGGTTATGACGACAGGAGCTCAGGCTGTGCTTACCTGACAGATCTTCATTGTAGACTATTTTTTGGTTGAACACAAAGTTGTTTAGCATTCTGTAAGGGCGAGCAGGCACATTTACTTTTTCGATCTGAGCTTTCCCTATTACGATGGTACAAGGAGAGTTTGCGTGGCCTGTGCTAAACTGGTTATGATTGTTGGCTGCAGGCTTCTATAGAAAAAAATGCGATGGACAAAATGTCAAAGCATAACAAATACATGCTTAAAGCAGTCCCAAATAATAGCAAAGGTGTATAAATAAAGCAATGTACCTTTGGAGTATTTGGTCTTCTCTGTCTTTTATTCACCTGCCTTTGAGGCCCCTGTTTTACAACTTTTGTTTGTGTTTGCTTCACACCAAGTTTCACTACATCTGCCCAGGATTTTGCAACTGCCAAAGGGAAAGATGGGGAATCTTTCAAACACTGACAGTAATGCGAGAAAAACTGCCCTCAAAATCCACCTGTCAAGGCAATACTGACCAATGAGGTTGGCTTCAGATGCACCACTCCGTCTTCGGGAACAAATCATCTGTAAAATGTCATGCTGACTTCGACTGATGGATGCTCTCTTCGAAGTCAAGCTGCTGCTCTTCCTCCCAGCTTTCTTAGGAATGTCTGTCTCCTGGAGGGATTTGCTGGCACCAGAGTCAGGTGAGGCCTTACCTGATCTGCGTCTTTGATTACTTGCTCCTGGCGGAGTTATTCCTGGATTAGGAGCTGGAACATCTGTACACATGCTCTGTGAAGATTCTTCTTTTCCAGATTGTGGTTGTTCCTGACAAGCCAGAAATGTTCATAAGAAACTTTGCCAAGAGGTAACATCTCTGTGCTATCTGCTAAAAACCTAGTCAGTAAAGAATGTCAGCTGTTTAGGACTAGGAGTGGTGACTCACCTACAGGAGGTGGAGATCAGGAGGATCATGGTTTGAGGCCAGCTTGGGCAAAAAGTGAGACCCTGCGTCAGTAAATGAGCCAGGGCATGGTGGCTCACATCTGTTAACACACTTAATGTGGGAGGTAGTAAGATCAAAGTTCAAAGCTGGCCAAGGGGATAAAGTTTGGGACATAGTTTGACAAATACCTAAAACAAAAAGGGCTGGAGGGATAGCTCAAGTGGTAGAGCCTGAATCAAAGCCCCAGCACCACCAAAAAATAAATAAATAAAACTAATAAGACAAAATCCAGCTGCTTAAAACATCAAATGTTTCAACCACTGTCTTTCAAAGATAAAGAAGAGGTCAGTTGTCCCACTCATTTTTACATTACTATTATTTTGGCAGAATGACGTTTGAACTCAGGGCCTCGTGCTTCTTCTAGGCAGTTGTTGTATCACTTGAGCCATGCCCTCAGTCCTTTTGGCTTTAGTTTTTATTTTTCAGATAGAGTCCTGCTTTTGCTAGGAGGCAGCCTGGATCGGTGATCCTTTAACTTCCATTTTCTGTGTAGCTGGGATTATAGGTGTGGGCCACCATGTTCAGCCCTATCCTACTCATTTAAGGAAAGAGCAAGAACAAGCAAGCACTAGTCAAGTCTGAATTGAGGTATTTCAGGTGGAAAGGTGGAGGAACACCCTGCTCACTCAGTGAGATAAAAAGCTCTGATCTTAGTCCCAGCTAATACCAGCCATGGGCTCCAGTCCTGAGGTCAGCATGGAAGCAGGACTGCTCACTTCTTTGAGACAGGACAAGCAGGAAGGAGCTCAGAATGCCCTCCCACTCCTTCCAGTACTAAAGGAAAATAAAGCCTGCCAGGTAACCTCTGTGCCCAGATCCTTCCAGGGATCTAAAGTCAGAGGGCAACAGGTGATTAAAGGTCTGAAGAGCTGAGTGCAGGAGAGCTGTTTCACCATCAAAGATGCTCCTTCTCACTATTACACGTCTAACTATTCCCTTATATCAATCCTTGTGCTCTGTCTCCAGAAGCTTAACCTACCCAAGAGGCTCTGTGGCTCTGTGGGCATGTCTGGGTCTTTTGCACTGAAGGAAAAAGTGCTGAGCACCCCACCCCCACAGCTGGGAGCCCAGATGTTTGTCTTTTAGCACCAAAATGAGTTCTCATGCAGTCTTTTAAAAAATTTTATTAGAAAAATGAAGATCTGGAGCTAGGGGCCGGTGGTTCATGCCTGCAATCCTAGCTATTCAGGAGGCAGAGATCAGGAGGATCACAGTTCAAAGCCAGCCTGGGCAAATAGTGAGACCCTATCTCAAAAAATATCCATCACAAAAAAAAAGGGGGGGGGTCTGGAAGAGTGGCTCAAGTGCTAAGAGCACCTGCCTAGCAAGTGTGAGGCCCTGAGTTCAAACCCCAGTGCTGGCAAAAAATTTTTTAAAAGGTGAATATCTGGATTGTCTTCCTACCTGTCAGGATTTAGGAAGGAGGGTATACCAGGTGTGTGAGCCACTAGGTATGAATACAACACTAGTCACCAGCTTACCTTGATGATTTTCTTCAGGACAGTCGAAGTGTGAGTGACAAGCGATTTCCTTTTGGTTGGGGTTTCTCCTCTTTTGAGAGGTGTGTTAGGAGGCAAGTTCTCATCAAACAATTCAGGCCTTAGATGACCACCAAAGGACACTCGCCTTCTCTTCAAAGAGGTTCCCTCACTCTTGTCTAAAGTAAGGAATACAAACACACGAAGAGCCATCAAAACAGCCACATCAAGATTTATGATATATTTCAAGCCAGTATTAAAAACTAACCCCTTACAAATTCATTGAAACTTGACACCTTCATTCTCTTGCAATATGGACAAAGCCCGAGCAGCCTCAGCCTTCTTCAAAGATCTCAGGAGAAACCACCGAGACACCCAGTTCCAATTGGACAGTTCTGAGGTTCTCCTTAGAATGCTGAAAATCACATGACACAGCTTAAGATAATGGTCAGCATCAGCTGGCACTTTGGAGCAGAGGGGGAAACTTTAGGAGCAGTCTGAGAAAACTTGGGCCTGACTCAGACCTGCCAAATGAGTAGAACGTGTGAGCTGTGAAAACGCCTCCAGGTGATGCTGCCAGCCAATTCACACAACCAAGTGAGGATTCCCCATTATAAGGCTTAGGGGAACACTGACTGAAGGGTACTGGTCTGGGTGATAGATACCCACACACCCACAACAGGCCATCTTCAGAAAGTGGGCTAGCTATGCTGTGAAGACTGCTGCACCAAACGCCTACACAGATCTCTTTCCTTTCTGCAAGCCAGCCAAATGTGAGGAAGATGCTACAGACCTCCCAAGTCTATAAGGCCACATCTCTGTGGCCTGGGGTTTGTCAGTTTTTTCTGTTTACAACAGGGAGATAAAAAAAGACAACATTCCTACAGCACCAGCCATTCAAACTGTTAATGCTTACGAAACACGTAGAACTTTGTGTGGCTCGGAAGTCTCTGGGTTTAGTTCTGTGACTATGACAGAAGACTGTCCCCAAGAACTACCACCATGTTCAAAGATTCCCAAGGAGTTTCTAATGATATATTCCCAATGACTATAAACTCATAGGATAGTTGATTGTAGTTCAGAATTGGACCCCAAGTAGAGACCAATCATTATTCTCCTTCCTATTTTGTGACAGATTGAAAGGAGAACCAAAAGTTACAGGGGTTTACCCCAGCTCCTTAGGTGATCTTGTGATGCAGTTCCCTGCTGGGTCAGCTGCACTTCGATCACTCTTTGTCGTGACCCTCCAGGTCTTCAGTACCCATCTGTCAGCTGAAAATGTGATCAGGCCTCTTATCGTCATACCCAAAGCACTTAGTGGATTCTTTACCACAGAGCTCATCACTATTGATTGGATGGAGGGCTCATTAACTCCTATCTAGATATAAAAAGTAGGTGTTAGTCTTTATGGAAAAGTATATTTATAGTTAAATAAACTTACTAATGGAATCATCAAAGTTGCTGATATCAACTGAACTAAGACCAGGCAACTCAGAGCAAATCTGTTCAGCTGTGGTGGCCAGCTTCTCAGGCTTGGTGAAGGCAGCCTTTCGAATGTTCTTTTCAACTTGAGCGAGGCATGGAGTTAAAAAGGACCGGTTTTTGGTTTCTGTAGGCAGGACTTCCGCATTTGTAGGAGTACTCATGTTTTCAAGAGAGAGATTTTCTGGTTTATGGTTGGCAGCATCTTCAACTTTAGCTGGTGTTTGTTTTCTAGTTAACAGCTTCCCAGGAGTGACTATCTTCTTGGCTGTACTGATGCCTTCACTTTCACCCAGATTTGCGGGCTCTCTTTCCTCCATAACATGTGGGTCTTCATCTTTATGTTGCTGTGAATACCGCACAGGGGTCTTCGTTTTGGTCGGTTCAGGCAGAGAAATGCTGGAACTCATGGCCTCTTGGGAAGTGTGCACAGGCTCCACACCATTTCCCTTGGCCTCAGTCTGGCTACTTTCTAGCTCAAATGCAGAAGACGCTGCCTTCACTTGGGCACTTCCATCAGATTTAGATCTTGATTTTTGTGACACCAACAGCTGCTTCTCCTTCCTTTCTTTTTCTGTTGTAGAATCAAGTTGTGATCCTGATTTTCTACAATACTGTAGAACACTTTGTCTTTGTAATTTTATACCCAACTCTTCCTTCATTGACTGATAAAGTTTCTTAAAGGGAGATTCATTTTTCTTGCCATTGTCAAGGCTCTGTGTAGAAGGAGAAGACTTCAGTTCTCTGTAACAGCTCACTGTTACCCTGGACTTTTCCTTCAAACCCCCAGAAGTGGGCTCTACTTCATTTCTGCTATTGTGTCCCACATGCTCTGGAGAACGAGCATCAGGTGGACCCTGGACAACACTGTCCTTGGAGCCAACAGAGGTGGCACTGTCTCCATTGAGGTTCTTGATGTGTGCCAGAGACCTTCTCGAAGTGACTTTTGAATGGGCTTTGGAATCTTGACCTTTCACATCTTGGCAATAAATTATGAAATAAGAAACAGAAGTTCAACATTTTCTCGGTGATTAACAATTGTGAAATTCAGTACTTTGAGAAAACATATGCTATCAAACTACTCAGAACTAAACTGAAAACTGAAAATACAATTTAGGTGTTGTGTACTTGGCCCCAGCTCTGAGCACAGAACCCCATCAATCTCCAGGGAACAAATTAACTCAGCTATCTGCCCTGGTTTGACATGTACAATGGTACAGCCTTCTAGGATTTGGGGAGATCAGGAACTTCGCCCTTTTGTTCCTGTTGTCCCTAGCCTTGCTATTGTGAAGGTGGTCTGATCCTAAGGGTCCCAGAAAAGAACCCAACCAGTACGAACCAGGGTCAGCAGAGAAGCTAGCTCTCGAGGCACGCTGTGCTGGTTCCTGTAAGTTGGGAAAATAAGAACAGTGATTAAGTACCTGAGTGGTGGTGATCGTAAAAATGAAAATATTCTTATTAGTGATCTTCTTTGCCAAACTATTCCTACATGACTCATGGAGACTTTGATGGAGAAATGGGCCCAATCATTTGCAAGCTAGTGGTTGTGGCACAAACACCTCTTAGTTGACTTAAAACATGTAGTGTTATAATAGAGAACAAACTCCAGGTTTAAATTGACTTAAATCAAACTTCAGAGAGTTTTTATAACTTCCTGTAAGTCACCCCCAACATGATACGAGAGAGGAAGCAAAGCTAAAATGAACTCTCAGCTACATCTGAAAACGAACCATAGGCTCAGAACCATTGACTTCCCAAGTTTCATCAGGAATGGGTTGATGAATTCAGGTTCCACGTAGCCCTGTGCCTGTGCTGGCATACAAATACTATGTCTTGGAAAGCTCAGAAGTTAAGGCCCATAGAGGAGCAGTGTACCCACAGGCACTGCTACCTCAAAGCCTGCAAACCAGACCCAGTCCTCCTGTCAGCTCCTGACACACTGTGCATGTACTCTCTATACAGAACTTTACTGGAGGCAAAGAACTAACAAATAACACAATGTACGATATAAAAAGGCACACCATCTGATTATTAACAAAAAAATCCAAAAACTACTATGAAGAATTTCACTTCATTTAATCACCTTCAAAGTGATGGATATTTAACACATTCCTTACACAACTGTTTGTTTTTTTATTTCCAACTTAAGGTGGACCAAGAATCTTATGATTAAACAACAAAAATGGACTAATAAGATTACAGACATGTACAATATATAGTACTATCTTTGTACGACTACATTCAATAGCCATAAAATCCTTCTACAACTACCAAAGGTCTTGTTTACTTACACCTACTAACAAGTTGGATGGTGGCTGATGAGCACTGGGCTCAACATTAGGGTCGTTCTTCTAGGGAAGAAGCAACATTTAACATGGCGGAGACTTTGAAGTAGAGGTGCCTGCTGTTAACTCCAAGTGTAGCTACAAGGCTCCTCACATGACAGCACTCACAGTTTTCCTGTGATTGTTTCAGACACGTAACCATGGATGAATAGCATGAGTAGGAGACAAAATGAGCCTGATAATGCAGCCCCCAAATCTTATTTCTACATGTTAGGGGTGTCTTAACCACAGGTTTGCAAGATCATGACATACCTTGGTAGACTTTTTGGTCAAGGTATAAGACCAATTTATTACTCTCCTTTTGAACAACAAAGAAGGGAATATGGTTTTGATTATTTTACTACTTATACATCCAACTTGTTTTCGTAGCTTAATTACATCTTTCTACTGTAACCTGGAAGCCACACTTCTTTTGTCACTCATTTAAAGTGAGAAATTGTTTGTCTAAGTGCGTACCAATGATTTCCTATCGTCAAAAACAAATCAGACCAAACCTAAATAATGCTCCACATCACCTGTTCACATATTTTTCCTGGAACTTCAGTTGACTTGCTTCCATTCCGATGGCTTTGATTTTCATACCTGCAGTGTATAGAATGACAGATTCAAATTAGGATTTGTACCGTTTGACTAAACTCTGTATTGGCTTATATCCACAGGCCAAGAAACAGACTTTAGGCTTTGTTCAGAGTATCACCTTATACATAGAGATAAATTTAGTTAGGAAAATGTTTTTATACTAAAAATATATATATTTCCTCATGTTTCTTTTGGAACACTACTGCCAGAGTCTGGGACAGCAGCCTTATCAATAACTGACCTGCATGTGATTGGGAAACACCACTGAGTAGCTCTGTGTAAGAACCTACAGCATAGGAGCAAAATTGTGAACATCATCCAAGGGTTTGGACAGCCTTCCAGCAAGCCCAGTGACGACTCGCTCTTTACACACACTGTGAAGTCACATATTTGGGGGCAAATACAAAGCTGTACCTTCACTACAGGGTAATTACAAAGTTATGACTTAGAACTATGATCATTCTAATTTTGCACTTAAACTGTCTTGACAAGGAAGGCTACTCAACTGTCCCAACAGAGCTCAGATACCAAATCATAGACACAATCCTTTATCATTTATAATGAAAATTTGGTACCCCAGTGAAATGGTCTGACTTGAATTTAGATACCACCTAAGTAAAACTGAGCCAGCAGGCATCTAAAACCTCTTCTCATAGAATCAGAGTGCTAAATCAAGTCCCTTTTCCTAAGACCCATTTCCTACCCTCTGTTGAGTATCTTTAATCATCTCAATCAATCTCCATTTGAATAGCATTTCTTTGAGGGAAATTCTGATCTCCATTCCAAATCAAATACTTCCTTCCTACCTGTTTGTCTATACTTAATAAAAATGCTCTTTAAAATTGTTCATAAAGATAATAAACATTTTATAATGATTTGAATGCCAATCTATTAAGAAGATACCTGACAGCAGGTTCCAAGAGACAACATCAACCATAAGAATTATGAAAAGGTGAAATTAGGGAGTGGAAAAACTTATACTATACAAGCACTCATCAAAATATTTAGCTTAGCTATATTTATCATCCAAAGGAAATATTAAGGGAAAAGTATTACTGAAGGTAGAGGGCATCTCTAAATGACAAAGAGGTCTATATATAGAACTCTAATGAAATCTATGTATACTTTAGAACTAGGTCCATTTACATATGCCAGAAAAAGGAAGACATAATTCTAAATTTGTTTGACAGACTATATCCTCAAATATATAAAGCAAAACTGATAAGAGCTGAAATAGAAAGGAAAGAAAGAAGGATGGGATAGAGAGAGGGAGGGAGAGAGGGAGGAAGGAAGGAAGGTGAAGGGAGGAAGGAAGGGAAAGAAAAGAGAATACCAAAGAAAGAAAAGAAAAGAAAAATTTTCTGTGGTCTACGACCATATTACCCAGAACGCGCCCAGTCTCATCGATCGTGAAAGCTAAGCAGATTTGGGCCTGGTTAGTACTTGGGAGAAAAATTCTCAGTGGGAGAGTTCAAAACACCTCTCACACTAATAAGCAGGGAAATGATTATTCTGCATATAGATTTGCATCTAATGGATCTAGACAAAACACTGCACATGTAGTTATAGAATAGACAGGTTAGAAAAAAATTGACCATATTTGATTGTAACGGAAGCCGTGGCACATTTCAAAAACTAGAAATCATTCAAATGTCTATCATGAATGAATAAACTGCATAATCTTGCATATTATTTTTCAGTGAAATGCTTATGCTGAGAGAAAGAATAAATTGCAAAGACACCCAACACACTATGACTCTCACACACAAGGGCGTAAGTCAGCCGCATACAAAGACATTATTACTTGATGTTACAGAGTTTCACGAAAACGAAAATGGTGTTTAGAGACCCATGGGTCAGGTACTAAAACTCCAAATGTAAGTGACAGCCACCATGGTGATTTTTGTGGCCAGAGAAAAGAGTGAATGGAGGCAACAGCAAAAAAACTGGAGGATTTTTTCCCTCATGGCCAGGGTAGTGTATTAGTCTGCTAGGACTGCCACAATGAAACACGACAGACAGATTGTCTTAAATAGAAATTTACAGCTCACAGTTTTGGAGGCTGGAGGTCCAAGTTCAAGGTGTCTACAGGCTGGCTGTCTCTGGGCCTCTTTCTTGGCTTAAAGTTGGGTGCCGTACTCCTCCCTCTTCACATCACCTTCCTTCAGTGCACTTGCTCCCTTGGAGTCTCGGTGTCCTAATCTCCTCTTATAATGACACCAGTCATGGATCAGGGCATGCCCTAATAGCCTCAGTTTAACTGAATTGCTTTTTTTTTTTTTTTTTTTTGGTAATACTGGGGAATGAACCCAGATCTTTACACATGCTAGGTGTGGGAGCTCTACCACTTGAGTCATACACCATTTGTTTGTTTGTTTATTTGTTTTGAGATAGGATCTTGCTAACTTTCCCCTGGCCTTGAACTCTCAATCCTCCTGTCCCGACCTCTCTAGCAGCTGCAATTACAAGTATGCACCACACCTGGCAAACTTACTTGATCTTTAAAGACCCTCTTCCAAATATTGAGCTACTGAGGGTTGGGAATTCCAAATATGATTTTTTGGGAAAGCACAATCAGTGAATAACAGGTAGTCATCACAAGGTGTTCAGGTCATAAATTGATTTGTGCATTTTGTTCTGCACTTGATCTGTGAAGATATTTTGTTTTAAAAAAGAAACTTAAAATTCACATAGTTTCACAATACTCACAAGAAAATAACCTGTTTAGGACCTGGTCACCTTAATTCCACCTAATCATATGCCCTGGAATTTCATCACCTCTGAGCCTCAGCTGTCATTCCTAAACCCACATGCTTTTAGATCACAAGTGTTACAAAGGAAAGCCTGCAATGCTTCTACATCCACCGACAGTGAAGGAGAACCACAGCTGAACTGTGACACTGGCTCATGTTCAGGCAGAACCTACCATTCAGTGTTACTCAAGAGTTTTGACCTACCTGAAAGATCGGTCAATAATAGTTATGACATCTCCATGTTTCAGCTGAACTGGTTCATCAATAACAGACCCATTGACTTGTGTTGGATTTGTGGAACTGAAATTATACAATATTGCCTAAAAGTAGAGAGGAGGAAAATATATAACTAACTAATAACTAGATAAAGGGCCAATTAAAAAGTTTTAAAACTGACAACCAAAACCTCACCTTCTGTTCCTTGACTTCAATTTTGCAATGTTGTTTTGACACTACAGGAAGCTGGATACGAATGTCACATTCAATATCCCTTAATACAAAAACATTAAGGTTGGCTTTTTGTTTTCTTTTGGTTGTCACAAATTACTTAAAAATCACCTTAATATTTCCAAATGAAACAGAATTTGATTAGTATGCTTGATCTGTAAATGGAATGACGAAATGACATGAGAACAACTGTATGGACATGCAAACAACCTGCATTTGGAACAATTTTTACAAGGATTGCATAAAACACTGAGATTTTCAAAACTTAGGAAATAATTAGGAAAAATTAAGAGTACCAATTTGCATTCTATGTAAACAGCTATACTTAGACAAATAAAGGAGAATTTTATATCAATTTTGGTGAATATTTACTTTTAGTGCTGTGCTTTAAAAAAAAGGCTTATACATGCTTGTCTGTAAATGTTATGCATGTTTAAAAATGTAATCACCCCCGCAGCACCCCATTTTCACCCTAGCACCTGTGTGCCTCCATTGCTTCATAGTTTATATCAGAGCCTATCCTGTAGTGTTGTTCAAACAATTAAATGAGTTGTACATGTTACTTGTGTGTCTGCCACACAGTAAATAAGTAAATATTATGTGTGAGATTTTCATTGCTAAATTAAAACTATGCCATATTAACTGACAGATTTAAGTCCCCTAACTTTACAAATGCCAATTTGCAGGCAACAGGGAACATTATCTAGATTCAACTTGTCCTTTCACGGAAAGTATCACCATGGCAAAGCACAGAAAGGACAATTTCCAACCCCATCCAAAAACCAATACCCAGAGGAGTTAGTTGGTAGCTTCCTGAAATCTAGCACTGCTGCTTAATCCTGTGGTGTTAAAACTTGAACACTGTCTATAATTTCCTGTCAGTACTCCATATTAACCTCTAAAGTCTAAGCATATCCCTTCCTACATGTCACAGGACCAAACACTTATGAATTATAAAATTATAAAATCTTGCAAAACAATGCCTAAGTACTACTGTATAATACCAATAATACTTAAGTACAATGCGTGGATCTAAGATGAGAATGTTTAATTTTTTCTTTGAAGAGAAAGGAAGCTATGGAAAGTGACAGGTTCTAAAACCCCCAAGAAGAAAATTAGGGTTTTAGGTGTCAGAATATCCCAACAGGAGACTACAGCCTTAGAACTGGGCTTGGTGTCACCAGAGAACACTACAGATCAGTACTTCTTCACCTCAATACTGTGGACACTTCAAAACAGACAATGCCTCACTGATGGGCGTCCTGTGCATGGTCCAGTGCCCCTCGACATCTGCACCCTCTCCCTGGTGGGTGAGATGAATGGTACACACCTCTCCCATGCTCACATGGAAAGATGTTCCCAGACCTTGCCAAGTGTCTCCTGGAGGTAAAATGGTCTTTCGGTTAGAACCACTATCTCCTGACTCCAAATCCAAACCTCTGGACAATTACCAGTGCCATATACTGACCACCTCTATGTGCCAGTGACCATACCTGGCCCTGAAGACATAACTATCAACAAGACAGTCCTTGCCCTTTGGAGCTTAGTCTAGTCCATAAAGACAAATCAAATTCAATTAATCGCTGACATTGTGGTGTTGGCAAAGACAAGCTTTCATTAAAGTCTTGTTTTTAGGTAACATTTAAACAGTTAAAGACGGGAAGGAATCGCTTAAACACAAGAACGGGAGAACATAACCAATCATAAGGTTCAAACTTGGGAAAAGTCCCAACACAGTGTGGGACTAGGGTTATTCTCCCATCCAGGAAGGCAACAGGGGGGCAAAGTTCTCAGAACAGCAGGACTCCCACCCCCATGTTCATTTTCCAAAGGGAGCAGAAGCTAAGCGCATGCTCCCCTCCTTCCTTCTCAGTCCAGAGCAGCCAGGCGAGGAGGGACTGGGAAACACGTTTTCCAAAGCGCCTAGGGGTGACCGCTTTGAGGATCGTCTACCCTCTTTGCACCCCATATCTTCTCAAATCAGATCCATTGTAAACGTTGCGTTGGATTAAAAAACACACCGCGCATATATAAAGAGTGATAAACCACCATGCCAAGTACCAAGGACGTTTGGGGGAGCAAAGTCCGCTCCCAGCGCCTGCGTCCGTTACTGCCATACCCAGCTAAGTCACTTCCTTCAGAGCTGGGCCACCCGGCTCACCTTCCGAACAAGCAGGTACTGAGGCTCAGTGGGAAGTGGGCGCCATCATCCCCGCTCCTTTTGATGGTGACAAGGCGTCCCGTGGGTCCCATGTTCTAAACCAGCCGTGGGTCGGATCCGTGTAGGAAGGGCAGGTCTCCACTGCAGAAGCAAACTCACTAAGCAGCTGTGCTACTGCACAACGAGGGGCTGGGGGTGACTCTGATGGCAAAGGGACTAAGTGACTTTGCAGTGCCCAATCACCACAATCCACCGCCCCCGCTCTCACCTCCATCAGCTGGGACCCGGCCGACAGGGGCTGCACCCCAGGTGGTTCCCCGCCCCCAAGACCCGCGGCCAGGATGCCCGCCCCGGGGTCCGTCATCCCGGGGTTGCCGGAGAGTCCGGAACCCGGCCGCGCCCGCCAGTCCCCGCAGAGATTGAGGGGACCCCGCCCGGCCTCAGCTCACCTAGGTGCAGTCGGCGCGGCCACCACAATGCCGCCGGCTGTCCGCCGCCGCGGGTGTCCTCCGCGCGGCTCGGCGTTGCCCAGACCGAAGCCGCCGCGGGCCGTGCTCGCTCCGCCCCGGCCCACTGAGCCGCGACCGCCGTCACCCGCCGCCGCCCTGGTGGCCTTACCTCCCGCGTCCCCGGTGCCGGTGCTGGCTGCTCCACGCCAATGCCTCCCGCCCTCCCGCCCGCCCGATCGATTCAAACGAAAACGGCGGTTCAAAATCTGGCGCTAAGTGCCGCGATTGGACGAGACGGCGGGGCGGGAGACCAATGGGAAGGGCGATCCGGAGGTGGGCGGGGCTGGAGGCGGGAAAGACGCTCCGCGGGGCGGGGCTGGCGCGCGTGGCCGGCCGGGGCTACTTCTGCAGGAAAAGCGTCTAAGAGCTGTTCTCTCCGTGCATGGCTTTTAAACAAGGGCAAAAATGGAACCGACATAACCCCTCCTGCTTCCCTCAAGAAAATGGCACCGTGTATTACCCATTGCCAGGAGATTCATATTTTTCTAAATTAAAAAAACTCCCTCTCCAATGTCTAAGTCGCGCCAAACGTAACCAGCGATCTTGTGCCTTTTCCAGTTACCGCGTATTATGCTGTTTTTCCAAAATACGAGGGGGCGATCATAACACACGCTATTCTGCAGTTTATGTTCTCTGCTTACAAATGCAGAGGCTGTTACCGTTTTGCACCGCCTTCCCTTCTTTCTGGTTGATGGTGGCAGAGTATATGGCTTTAGAAAAACACATTTTATTTAATCATTGCTTTTGCCGCACATTTAGGTTTCGTGTTTTTTCTGTTAGGAAAAAGATCGTCAATTAAGATACCCTGTGTCTGTGACAACGTGGATGAATACTAAAATAATTAAGGCACAGAAATCCACCCTGGGCCACCTGCTGATGCTGGTGCTTCCATGGCTCAGGTGCAGTGGATGAACTGAACAGCGAACCCCCTGCCTCGCCTCTCCCACTCCTCCCCTTGAACCTGGCTCCCTGGATCTGGAGCAGCATTCTCACAGTGTAGTGGGGACCCCAGAGCCTCCAGAATCCTTTCATGGGTGCATGAGATCAAAACCACGCTTGTAATGACACTAGATGCTATTTATCCTTTTCACTGTCCTCTCAGGAGTGGGATGGAGCCTGCCCAGTGCAGAAGCAGGTGGGTAAATCCAGCGTCTGTCTTCCATCCAGCCAGGAATTACAGAGGGTTGCAAAAATGTGAAATGGTGCGGCTCTCTTCACTAGTTTTTCTTTTGTTCCTTTGGGATTATATAGATTTTTTCCATTAAAAAAGATATTTGTATTAACATGAGGTGGGTTCATCATTGTAAAGTAAATCCACAAATGAATGTTGTATTAATTCTTCAGTTTTTGTTTCAGTGTCATAAGCAAAGATAGACAGGACCCACATTAGTTTTTAAGAATGGAACTATGAAAGTAAATAGTGTGAGCCCTTCTGCCCCAGGGCAGCAACTCAGACTGTATGTGGGGGACGATGTAGGACAGCCACTCCACATTGGATGGGACCAGCTGATGTCAATAAATTAAGTGCAGAGATAATATGAACTTTGAGGGAGGGGGAGCATTAGTTTACATTTCCTCTCCCATTGACCAATCACTCAAATCTCGCCTCTGAGTAGCCCTGCTCTTGTCACAAATTATTGTTTGTTTTCAAGGACTGTTCTTCCATCCTCTGGAGTAGCTGGATTGGAACTAGAATGTCTATTCATCAATCTTACAAACACTATAGTGTACATTCCAAGAGTTCTCAAGAGACCAGGAAATTAAGGAGAAGAGGAAGAGAATGGTCGGAATTTTGGACCTCTGGGAGGACTGATCTTCAGAGATGTTACAAGATGAAAGTTTGCAGGGTGTTTTCTGTTGAGTTTTAAGCTTGTCCCCCAGCCTGAAATTCTATTTTAAACCCAGATCTCTTTATTGGGAGGAGCATCTCTGGCATCCCTGTGCCAGGCTGGCTTCTGGTTCTGATAGTTACTCCACAGTGATCAGGAGTAGAGACCCTGTAGTAAGAGACCCAGGGGGCCAGAAAAGGCCTTCCAGGGGATACCTGAACCAGGGGAGTTTCTAAAATTAATGTCCATATCCTCAAGGCCCCATCATGCACTCATGCCCCAAATCAGCCAGAAAAAGTGTGTGTGTGGCATGGGTTCCCCTGCCCGTGGGTCCCCACTCATTCCTCCTTCCTTCTCCTACTTGCTGATCTCACTGCTGAAAACTGACAGTGAACACTGCCCGGGCAGCCAGTAAAGAGACCATCGAACAAGTCCCTCAACCCTATGCCCATCCATCTGATGCAAGGGTTCATTTCCAATAAATTGTGAGTTTATGTTCAATAAATAGTCATTAAAATTTGAAGAGTTCAGGTTGTCCCATCAATTTTTAGTAAATATTTTGTGTGTAAACATATATGGATGATGTGATACATTGTTAAGATTCATTGTTAAGAAATTTTGTAAATGTCACAATGTACCCCCAGCACAACAATAATAAAAATAAAGTATAAAAAATCTATTTCAAACACACACACACACATACAAACATATGGAAAGAGATTGCAGACGTGTAGAACGGGAGTGAGTAAAAGACTCAAGCAAGCGTGTGGGTGAGTTACGTTAGGATAAGTTTTGATGGAGGAGGTGGTGCAGAAACGCTATTTCTGAGAACAAAGTCACAGTGCACAGAAGTACATTGGGAGATCCAGGCAGCCTTACAGGGAGGGGCCAACCTCCCTATCTTTAGGGCAGCCTTGTTAGCTTTGGCTTGAGCCCTGCTGCTTTGTAAATTTCTTTCTTGAATTTGAGGCTCCTCCCTGCACCAGGGAGGACTTCCTATGGGGGCTGGGTAGGAGGTTTCTGCTTCCAAATCCCTGAGCCTAGGGCAGAAGCGGCAAGCGCGGGCTGCGGCATTCCTGCCAGGACTCCTGGGCAGCCTGCACCTTAGAGGTGTCCCCCCCAAAAATGTGATCAAATAGGGTGGGGGGTCTCATCTCAACACCCCCAGAACAGTGTGCAACAGGTATGCCCAAATATACCACAAATTGCAGATCTTGGTTATTCTCCCCACTCCTCAATTAAGGGACCTGGATCCTTGAGCGACCACAGTTAGGGATCACTATGCCAATCAAGGGAGCACAAAGGGGCACTTCTCATCCCTCCCCTATCCCCTAGTCACCCTCCTGGGCCCCTTCAACTTTCCAATCAGTGGAAACAAAGACCTTAACGTGGAGGTATGGGGAGCAGGGGGGGAGGGGGGAGGGGAAACCGGTGTCCTGAGCCTGGAAGGAGGGCTGAGGTCCTTCTGAAATCAGCCCAGGGTTTGGGGGTGGAGGGGAGCTACATCACTGAGAACCTTCTACAGCCCCTAAAGCAGGGAGAGAAAACTGCCAGGCACCTGCCTGGCTCCAGTCCCGGCCCCAAAGCTGAGCTCCCTTCCTAGATCCAACCTCCTCTCTGCCCCAAATTCCAGGCTCCTTAAGCAGGGCCTAGGGCCCAGGTCAGAAGTGGGGCTGGCCCCACCCTTCTCTTTCATCAGCACTCCATATGTGGGCTGACAAGGGTCTGTCCCCTCCATTTCTGTCCCCATTCTGGCCCCTGGGCCTTTGCACTTGACTGTCTGGGAGGTGGCTCCTTCATGGAAACTTGCCCAAAGTACAGATGGGACCATATCTCTTCCTCCCATTGAATTCTGTTAGCATTTCCCTGTTCCTCACTTCTGAAGAAGATGTGATCCAAACCCCTGCTGGCCTCTGGGACCTCAAGGGCCATAACCACAGAAAGTGTGAGCTGCAAATTTCCCACTGGATCACATGACTCCTTCTCTCCCACCCTTCAGAGCTTCCATCCCTAGAGTTTGCAAACTCTAGCCAGACTCTCTGAGGTCACATGTATCCTGCCTTAGCCCCTCTTGACCTCTCCTTGTGCTCAGGCTCCTGGATTCTTCCTTCCAGAGGCTGCTAGGATTCCTAAAGTCTCAAAGGTGTCGATTCTGCTCTTCCTTCTGCTGGGGAGAAACTATACAGACTGATGACCCACTCCAGGTACTTAAAGAAGTCTCCCAGGGAGGAATTGCCCTGGAAGCCCTGACCAGCCATGACCTGCTGCGGCCATCCAGGTCTGTGTCAGCTCACTACTGTATAAGAACCTCCCTGGCAGAGTGTGCTTGCTGACCTCAGCTCTCTGCATGTAGGAAAAAAAAAAAACTGCAACAAAACATGGCACTGAGAAACATGAATGATGCCAAAATTCTGTGAAATATATAAAGCTACATAAATCTCAATAAAAAAAAAACTTTGGATAATTTAAAACAGAAAAACATAAATGAAACTTTGAGAAACTTTTTTTTAAATTTAAGAAGCCAATGCTACATATTTCCATTTTAGAATATTTTAAATATATATAATTGTAGAAGGAAGATAGCATCACCCAGAGATGCCCCAAAAATAGAATCATGTTTTTCTCTGTGTAACCTTTAATTTTACATTAGAAGTGTTACATGTACAGATAGGCAGGTACTTTAAATATCTCATTCATCTGCATTGAGGATCACTTTGATAACTATTTCCTTTGTTTTGAACATTTATGACTTTTCTTAACTTTTTTATTACAAATAACATGACACACATTTTGAGGAACAACCCTGTTTGGGTGTCATAGGTGGTGTTCCAAATATTGATCTTTGAGAATCTAGTTGGTCTGTCAAGTAATATTTGCTTCAAACTCCAAACTGCTTTCTTCTCAGAGGGGCTGCAACAACATTTGTACTCAGTTCACTGCTTGAGAATTATATATCATCGTTTTTGTTAGCATTTCGAATTATCTGCTAGCTAGTCCAGGCAAAAATGGAATATCATTTCAATTTAAATTTTTAAATTACTGGTAGGTTTGAACACTTTTCCTTATATTTTTAAAGTTGCCATATTTTAGAATTTGGATCAGTAGGGTTTTTTGTTGTTGTTACTTGCCTAATTATCTGCTAATATCTCAAAGCTGTCTTGGCTGACTTCTTTA